TGATGGATGGCAAACTCATTAAGAAGCTACTGTGTGAAATCGAGTTAAGGAATTGAACTCTTCGCATCACTCCACTACACCCTTCACTAACCTAGGATGTTACACAGGTTCACCGTCCTTGTGAATGCTCTCAGGGTAGAGCTGGAAACTATTATTGAAGTCTGCATTGCTGTCTGCTTTTGAGAAATTGATAAACTTTCCCATCTACGTGAGATCCTGTAAATGATAAACACAGGAAAGAGATTCAGTTCCACTAGGAATTGCTATGAGCAGAATCTGCCCTCAAAAATCTATGATTGTAATTACCGTTTAGTTCAGTTTTTTATGTTTGCTTTAGACAAACCATGGTGCAAAAACCCGGGCCCAACAGAAAGCTGCAGTATAGACAGTCAATTTACTGGTCTGATGAATTCCCATTGCTGTTAGCATGGCAGGTACAGAGCGGTGAACACAATGCTTAGGAATCAGCCAGGGATGAGTTATTCTGCTGCTTTGTTTTGCTTGGGGGCTGAGTCTGACTCCAGAGACCTGTAATTCCACCTGATCTTACTTTGCAAATCCATGTCATCTGAAATGTAGAGTCCTGTAGCGTATTGGTTAGAGCACTCGCCTCGCAAGTGAGGACTTGGGTTTGTTTCCCCCGTCATGGCGGAACATTAGGCAAGTTTCCTTACTCCACACACCTCTGTTAACCTAGCAGTAAGTAGGAACTCTGTTGTTAGTCGATTGGTGGATCGCTTTTCCGGGCTAATAATCCCTTCAAAAAATAATAATAAATGTCGCACAATCCACGACTGTGGGACACTGCAATACACAATTCGCTGCCATATTTCACTCAGAAAATATACAGTCAATCCACTTGACAGTATATTCTGTGAAGCGTTTTGACAACGACATGATATGGTACTATATCAAATGCAAGGATTATTATAAAATTTAAGGTGAGGCAGAATTGCAGAAGATTCTTAAATTCAGTCTTAATTCAGCAAATGGATTTTTGCAGTTTGTAAGAAGAGCCCAATTAGAAAGAATCCAAATTGAAACTGGTTTTAATACATTTTCAAAATGGTCCTGCGAGGTTAATCTCACGTGGGATCTCAGGCCTTGTGCCCTACAGGTTTTATTGCTAGCAGTACTGTTGAGCCTATGTGAATTGGATCACTGGGGTCGAAACTTTTCTCCCGTTCTTAAGTTTAAAATGATAAGAAAATGGCCTAAGTACATGCGGAATCTCAGGCCTCTCATTGACAAATTCTCTGTATATTTTTCTTTGGTGGGAAATTCAGAACAAGGGGGTATCATTTTAACATTAGAGCCTGGCCATTTAGGAATGAAATCAGGAGGCAGATGTGGATGCTGATCCATTCACATCTTCAAGACTGAGGTGGATAATTTTTATTAGGTCAATGTATCACCAAGGACAGTGGTTTAGATTTAGGTACAGATCAGCCATGATCTAATAGAATGGCAGAACAGCTCGAGGGACTGAATGGCCTCCACCTGTTCCTATGCCTCTATAATCTGAGAATTCACATTCACTGTGTTTGGTTTATGTGCATGTGAAGGAATTGTGGCTCTGGGTAACAGGCTGTGGGATGTTGTCAGTGCCAGGTGTTAGGTAAGGATGAGCAAAGCACAGAGATCTGCTGCAAGTCTACATCTTGTTATTACTGGCCCAGTTGAGCCGCTCTTGTTCCTCGATGCTGTTTGAGCAATGAGAACACAGTGGTAGAAATCAGCTATGGCGGAACATTATTTTGAGGTTTGACTGAGCTGTAAGAAGAGGCCGTTGAGTCCTTTCTTTCTTGCACGTTTCTTTGTTGGCATTGAGCCGTTCAGGGTCATTTTGTGACAATTCACACTTCGACTGCCTAGATTTTGCCGACAAAAACAAGTCAGTACATTTGATAGTAATTGCTGTAAAGTGCTTTGAGACTTTTGGGTATGATAAGTGTGTAAAATTGCAAGGTCCCTTTTCTTACATAAAATGCAGGCTTTTATTGCTGCTTTGGAATTAATGCCTTCTGCTTAAATCTTGAGCCCTTTGTTTTTTGAAGAATGAAAGCTGATTTTGACATGTTTTGAGCCAGTAAATCCTATGTGGAAAGGAGCAGGAATTTTTCCAGTGGCACTCAATCTCCATGTATTCCATCCATCTTCAGCGATGTCTTAAAGATAGATCATCCTCAGAAGATAATTTCGGTTGATAATAATAAAATCCTTGCAAATTTGATCATGTCATGGAGACATCTCACAGGATATACTGTAAAGTGGAGTTACTGTGTGTGTTTCATGGGGGAATCCGGCAGCCAGTTGCGCACAACAATGTCCGACAAACAGCCATGGAGTGAGTGACCATTTTATTTGGGGGATTGTTGGCCAGGACACTGGGAGAGAGAAACCCTAACTGAACAGCGCCACGGGATCTTTAATGTCCATCTGAACAGGCAGATGGGGCTTCGGTTTAACATCTGATCTGAAGGACAGGTGAGACATTAAACCGAGGGCCCTCCTGTCTATTCAAACATTGAAACATACCATTATAATTATGGTAGCTTTTTAAGTACAATATATAATAATAATCCTTGCATGTGATTTACTGCCTTATCATGATATCAAAACATCTCAAAGATTCTCATCTTTTATTGCAGCTAAGATGGGTGCCTGGACAGAGAGAATAAATATAATAAGAATTTGGTCACTCAATCCATGACTGTTTGTGGGACACTGCTGTGCATAATTGGGTGCCAAGTTTTGCCCACAAAATATACAGTCAATTCAATTTACAGTATATTCTGTGAAGCGCTTTGAGACGTCTCAAAGATGTGATAAGGCGCTGTATCAAATGCAAGGATTATTATCTTTACTGTGAAGTGCAGTGACTATCTATTTGTGGGTGAATGTGGTAGCCAGTTTGCAAACCGCAACATCCCACAAACAGCCGAGGGAAATGGTTGACCTCAATGTGCGGCACAATGCGATAGGCCAAATGGCCTACTTTTGTCCTGAAGAATTCTTACATTTCTCTGCATCACTGTATTATAAATCCTGTTTTGATAGACAGTGAAATCAATTGATTTTTACAATCTACTTATTATAAATTCAAGTGGAAAATAGATTGTGATATGGTACTGGGGTCGAGGAAGATGGGAATACATTATAAATACATTTATAATAATCGTTGCATTTGATATAGCGCCTTATCACGTTGTTGAGATACCTCAAAGCGCTTCACATTATATTGTAAAGCGGATTTTGTGGGTAAAACGCGACAGCCAATTGCGTACAGCAGTGTCCCACCCGGGAATCAAACCCGGGTCCTCTTGCTTATGAAGTGAGCGCACTAACCACTATACTAGAGGACTCCAATGGTATTCAAACAGCAGAACTGCCCAGTACACCAATAATGTTCCTGACTGGTGACTGGTATGGGTCATGTGTTTTATTTCTCTCTTTGCAAAGTGAAATGCACCATAAAGTTGCGACCGTTAATGCAGCCTCATGGATTGAACAAATGGAGCACATATTTGAGAGAATGCACAGTTTCTTTGCCAGAAAAGCCAGTGCACATTTCAGAGCAGATTGTGAAGTTAGTGAGCAGCTTTTAATGGAAAGATACCGTTCTGCATTTATAACACAATGGGACGCTTTAATCTCTCTGATGGACTGTAAACAGAAGGCGTTCTAATGATAGGAAATGGTGGGGAAAGACAATCGCTGAGTTGGCTTCTATCCTTGTCCTCTATCTTGTTCCCTACTCTTTCTCTTCATGATCTTGAGCAGATTTGGGAGACATTAATATGGTGCTTCGTGATGGAGTATCCATACTTTTGTCACATCCAGACCTGATCACACCAGACTTTTCTACTCTCTCCTCCACATGCTGCAGATCATTCAGAATTTGTGTCTTCTTCCACACCAGACTCTGCGAGCCTATCCCCCTCATCCTCACCCAGCTCCACTGGATCTCTTACCCTTGTGACCTGCTAAAACCCTCCCGCACCCTCCGCTTTGCAGTCACTGACCTGCTTTGTGACCCCCGCCCTGACCCACCCCACTATCAGCTGTCAGGAGGAAGAGAAAAATCTCTTAGGGAGTGTGGCATATGAGCAGTTTCAGATAGGCATTCAGATAGGCACAAATTATATGAAACGCTGGGGTTCTTTTCTTTCCTGTTTCCACATTTTACCCGAGCTGAACGTGGGTAGTGGAGTCCTTTAGCGTTTTTGGTTAAAACACTCGCCTCGCATTCCTGGGTGGGCAAAACGTTAGTCAAGTTTCCTTACTCCACAAGCCTTGTTTATCATGGAGTAAGTAGGAACCGGATTAATAGTCAATTGGCAGATCGCTTTTCCAGGGATAATAACCCCTTCAAATATGATGATGATAATAATAATAACAATAACAATAATAAATTTGGTCACTCAATCCACAGTTTGTGGGACACTGCTGTGTGCAATTGGCTGCCACTTTTCATCCAGAAATTACATAGTCAATTCACTTTACAGTATAGCCTGTGAAGTACTTTGAGATGTTTCGATGATGTGATAAGGCTCTATATCAAATGCAAGGATCATCATTATTATTATAAATATCTGAAACTCTTATGTTCTCTTCTTTCCTGTTTCCACATTTTACCTGAGCTGAGGGTAGTAAACGGAATTGCCCATTATTGAATGATAACCTTTCTCTCAGCATTTGGGAGGAGCAGATGAGGCTGTCAAATTTTTTTTAAACCCAATTTATACATTATTGTGTCAATCCTGGCCTTTCAAACTGAAAAAGGGGTTAATTGATTGCGACAGCATTCGAGAGAGTGAACGCTGCTATTTTGTTGAAGAGAAAACTATTATTGAAAAGGACTGGTTTGATCAAGGCAAAAGTTATACCTGGACTGAACCTCAGAAAAGAAAAATAATCCCTTTTTTTAAAATGTTATTGATAGTACAGTGAGTATAGTGAGAGGATTGGGTTTTGAGTCTTATCTGCTTGCGTTTCAGATAAGAATAAAAGACTCTATGGAGCAGGAATCCGACAAGAGTAAGCCACGGTCAAAGAGGCCAGATAAAGCGCTGTACGTGCCCAGAGCACTACGCCACTCGCCAGCACCACCTGAAGGGGTTCCCAGAGCCGGGCAAGAGGGGGAAGGGGATTCCGCCGAGCGAAAGGAACCACCAAACACATCTGATGCAATAGAAAAGTGGGAGACGGGGGCACCTCCCATAGTAGACTCTTGCAGCGATGCCGGGGAAGTACATAGCGAGCGGATATTCACTCAAGACAACACGGCCCAAAAGGAGAGAAGTGAAAGAGAACGCCTCAATAAAGACATGGAAAAACAGCCGCTTTCAGAGAAAAAGAAGCCGACTTCAGACCCTGAAAGACACAGCAGCTCTGGAGAAAGAAAGCAATTGGAGTCAAAACACTTAAAAGCAGCAGAAGATATTGTCCATGCAAAGACAGGAACAAGCGATAGTAAATTGCCCAGTGGAGATGAAGAAGCAGTTTATAAACAGATGCTATCAGAAATATGTAATGATATTGATGCAGTAACTAATTCTTTACTTGACTCTGCCAGCTCAGTAGCTGAGAGTAATGGAGAAGGGACAGAATCCAGTTGGGAAGAAATGCGAGACCTTGACGAACAGACTGTACCAGACACATCTAACGACAAGCAGTCAGTGCCCACGAGTAATGAAGGGCCTGGTAATGTGGATTCAATAGAGAAAAAGCAGGAGTCTGACACAAACAAATCTCTCCCCGAAGAAACTGTCTCTCAGTTGAACAGAAGTTCTGATGCAGGCGTATCCTTTAAAGAAAATGAGCTAGAACCTTCTCAATTAGTCAGCCACCAGCATTGTGTATCTGTGAGTTATCCTGCACCACACTGCCCAGGAACAGTCAACATGGGACAGGATGAAGGAAGAAGCATTGGACAGAACGCCTGCACTCAGCAACATGAAGAAAGTAGTTTGGAAGAGACTTTTAGTGAAGTAACTACCAAGGCTGCAGTGCGTGAAGCCAGTATAGATAAAGGCCTCTGCTCACAGCAAACTGAGGTGCTGTTACTAACAGAAGGCCAGAGTGTCTCTTGGCCCACTGACTTACGTGAAAGCAAAGTGAGCTCAGATTCCCAATATTGTAGCGTGATTACCATGTCAGACGAGCAGGGTTTAAGGGAAGAACCCAAAGAGACGGTGTCTGCCGAGGAAATGGGCATGAATATGGGTCCAATGGACTGTGAGATTTCCAGGGTCGGGGAAGCCACTAGGAGCGATGCTGTGAGAGACGGGGATGGAATGGCAGGAGCTTTGCACAGGTTGACTGTCGGTGCAGAGGAAGGGGAGAGTGTTGAAGAGCCTGAGGAGGACAGCTGGGATGCCCTTTTCGATGATGATGGAGAATGTTTAGACCCTCACCTTCTGGAAGAGGTAAAACAACAACAACAACAACAAGATTCCATTTATAAAGCGCCTTTCACGTCAGGAGGACGTCCCAAGCGCTGCACAGTTGGGTCATGACCCGAGCAGGGGGGAAATGGTCAGGGTGAGGGGAGGGAAGGGAGGGAGCGAGGAGGGGGAAGAGAGTCGAGAGGGGAGCCGAAGGCACGGTCAAAGAGAAAGGTTTTGAGACCGGCCTTGAAGGAGGAAAGGGAGGAAGCGGCAAAGGCACTGGGGGATGGAGTTCCAGAGCCTGGGGGCTGAGAGGCTGAAGGCCCGACCACCGATGGTAGGGCGGTTGGGGCGGGGGACGTGGAGCAGACCGGAGCCAGAGGAACGGAGGGTACGGGCAGGTAGGTAGGGGGATAGTAGGTTGGAGAGGTAGGAGGGAGCGAGGCCGTGAATGGCCTTGTAGGTGAGGATGAGGATCTTGAATTCGATCCTCTGGGGGATGGGGAGCCAGTGGAGGCGAGCGAGGGCGAGGGTGGGAGTGATGTGGTCGCGGTGTCTGGTGCGGGACAGTACACGAGCTGCAGAGTTCTGAATGACCTGCAGTGTGGAGGGAGGTGGCGGGAAGGCCGACGAGGAGAGAGTTCCCATAGTCCAGCCTTGAGGTGACAAAGGCGTGAACCAGGGTTTCAGCCACGTGAGGGGTGAGGTAATGCCGTAGTCTGGCAGCAGTAGTATATTTTTTTTTTTTGTTACTTCAATATGAATAAAAACAACCAGGTGAAAGTTAATTCTGAATAACAAACATTTTTTTAGAAGAAAATGAAAATCACTCCATTCTACATCCTGTGATTGTGTAAAAAAAAGGTCCGACCTCTGGGTTGTCAGGTCGCTGCTGATATCACTTCCTATGCAAACCATATTCGCGCTATCCGCAAGAAGTGCTGCTGACGTCGCCATGTGCCCAATGTACAGGAAGACATCAGTGGCGAGCTGTTGACCTGGAAGTTAGCCATTTCATTTGGCCTCTTTATAATCCCGCACTTGAGATATTGGACCCATGCAGCTGTGTTCTCAAGGGGATTGCCCTGCTGCTGTCATGGCTTTGCCTGTTCCAATTCATGGGAGAATATCAATTTCTAAGGGTTGCTAAAATTGTTGAATCTTGGGGGTAGGGAATCCTCCCCCTCAGCTCCTGTTAACCCTGCAGCCAAAGCCCTAACGGGTAGGGTGGTCCTAGCTGGACAACCAGCAGGAAAGCTTGCCAGATAGCAATATCAATGACAAGCTGTGTGGTTTTAACTGGTTAGACTCCAGCAGTTACCCCAACACACACTCTGAGGTCCCTAAGCCTTGGCTCTTGCCAACCTGTGCCTAATACTTTCAGGAATTAGGTAAAAATGAAGCATCCCTCCAGGGAGAGAGCACATTCCATTCCAACAATCTATCTCTGGGATTTCCATGTATGGGTGGGCTGCTCAGTTTGGTTTAGATACTCTTAAGCACGTTGATGGGTTTTCACTTTTGTCAGACACCCGACTGATTAAAAAAAATTGAATCTTGCAAGTTTTCTTCCTGGGATCTTGACTGACCATCACCCTGCACGATGTGACAACGCTGGACATACCTCTGGGCTGAGCTGGGGTTGAGTCAAGTTCATTGAGCATAACAGGAGAGGAGATAGTGTGCCACTGTGATAACGCAACCTATGGCAAGAAGTGTCTTCATCAGAACCGACAACATGATAGCTTCACTTTAACTCCCTGGGATAATGTAATCTCCGGCAATCTTGCAAATATTTGCTCTGCAGAGTGTTCAACGGTGTTAAAAATGACTATGTGGCTTATTTATGACTTCTCCACAAAGTCCCATTTGTTTTGTAATTCTTTTCCGATAAGATGTCTCCAGCAGCATGTCGCAATCGTGGCCAACCATCAATTGGGCAGTTAAAATAATCTTTTGTGTCTTTTCCTTGGGTAATATGTTCATATATGTTTGTGATGTGTGTGTTAAGGCAAGAAGCGTTGGTGCTTGTAGAATAGAATTGTATACATTATAAAACTCGTGACTTGGTTAGCGACAGCTGTTTGTTATGGACACGAGACAGCCATTTTGGAAGTGTGGCAGCTCAAAACCCTCAAAAAATACACTTAATGACCTGTTCTTCAGTAGATCAGTTCCTGAGGCTGTGGTCTCCCCTCCTCTGCTCTCTGATGGGTGTTTGAATGGAGATTAATAATAATAATAATCCTTGCATTTGATATTACGCGTTACCACGTCGTTGTGAGACGTCTCAAAGCGCTTCACAGAATATACTGTAAAGTGAATTGAATGTGTATTTTGTGGGCGAAACACGGCAGCCAATTGTGCACAGCAGCGTCCCTTAAAAGCTGTGCTTCACATTCCCACCTTTCCACCCCTCAAGTCTACTAGAGGTGGCAGATTAACTTTTATTATCAAGGATTTTGAGTGACAATGAACTGATCCCAGTTGAGCACAGCCATAGAGCACAGGAGTAATGGAAGTTTGCGAGACGAGAGCTCTAACCACTGAGCTGCAGGACCACAGCTTTTTATTAGCTCTTGGCAGATCTTCATAGCTTCACTTCATAGCTGTGACTTTGTTGTGCACAGGATAATAGTCCTTCATGGCCTTGGGATGTCCTCCCAATGTGGAAGGCGCTATATAAATACATTTAGCTGTTGTCATGTTTGTCTTCAAAAATAGACAGTAATTTCTGAATAAGCATTTTGAAATGTTTTCATACAACCATTTGGCCCATCGTGTCTGTGTCTGTCCGGCTCTTTGAAAAGAGCTTCCAAAACAACCCCACTCCCCCACTCTCTCCCCATAGCCCTGATCAAACCCACTCCCGCGCTCTCACCCCATAGCCCTGATCAACCCCACTCTCTCCCCATAGCCCTGATCAACCCCACTCCCGCGCTCTCTACCTATAGCCCTGCAAACTTGTCCTCCCCAAATAATTATCTTTTTCTCTCTTAAAAGTTATTATGGAATCGGCTTCCCCCAGCCTTTCAGGCAATGCATTCCAGATTCCCAACAACTCACTGTGTGAAAATATTTCTCCTCACTTCTCCTCTGTTTCTTTTAATAACTGTTTTAAATTGATGTCCTAGGGTTACCAACCCTCCTGCCAGTGGGAATAGTTTCTCCTTGTCCACCCTATCAAATCCCCTCATAATTTTGAAAACTTTTATTAAGTTTCCTCTAACCTTCTCTGCTCCAAGGAGAATAATCCCGGCTTCTCTACCTCACCTGATAACTGAAGTCCCTCATTCCTGCTCCTGTCTCCCAGCCAGTTCTGGATCCATGCTGCCACTGTCCCTTTAATACCTTGGGTATTATTATTAAAAAACACATAATTCTCTTTTGTGGAACTTTATCAAAGCTTTTTAAAAATCCATATCCATATACTACATCAACTGCACTACCTTCATTCACCCTCTCCGTTACTTTATTTTTTCCCGGATTATCGTCTCCAGAAGTTTCCCCACTATTGACGTTAGGCTGACTGGCCTGTAGTTCCCGGGTTTATCCTTCTGCCCTTTTTGTACAGTGGAATTAAATTTGCAGCCCTCCAGTCCTCTGGCATCTCCCCAGTGTCGAAGGAGGACTGAAAGATTGTGGCCAGAGCCTCCGTTATTTCCACCCTGACTTCCCTCAGTAACTTAGGATGCATCCTGTCCGGACCGGGTGACTTATGTACCTTGAGCACTGACAACCTTTTTAGTACCTCCTCTCGGTTTCTTCTTATCCAATTTCTACCCTCTCCTCCAATACTGTGGCATTGGCTGCATCCACTTTTGTGAAGACAGATGCAAAGTACTCATTCAGTACGTCAGCCTCCACAAGAAGATTTCCTTTTTGGTCCCTAATTGGGCCCACCATATCTTTGACTAACCTTTTATTCTTTATATGCTTAAAAAATATCTTAGTGTTCCTTTTTATGTTACCCGCTAATCCTTTCTCATACATTCTCTTTGCCCCTCTTATTTCCTTTTTAATCATAGAATCATAGAATCGTACAGCAGAAAAAGAGGCCATTCAGCCCATCGAGTCTGTGCGGCTCTTTGAATAGAGCAATGTAATGTCACTCCCACTCCCCAGACCTTTCCCCATAACCCTGCAAACTCTCCTCCTCAAATACCCGTCCACTGCGTTTTTAAAAGTAGTTATCGAATCGGCCTCGACCACATTTTCAGGCAATGTGTTCCAGATTCGAACAACTCGCTGCGTGAAAACGTGTCTTCTCCCCTCCCCTCGGCTTCTTTTAGAGACCATTTTGAATCTGTGACCTCGAGTCACCGACACACCCACCAGTGGAAACAGTTTTTCCCTTTCTAACCTATCAAATCCCCTCATGATTTTGAAGACCTCTATTAGGTCTCCTCGTAACCTTCTCTGCTCCAATGAGAATAATCCTCTCCTCTCCAGCCTTTCCTCATCATCACGGTCCCTCATTCCTGGTACCATCCTCGTAAATCTCCTCTGCGCCCTTTCCAACGCCTTAACATCCTTCCTATAGTGCGGTGCCCAGAACTGGGCGCAGTATTCTAACTGAGGCCTAACCAGTGTTTATATGGGTTAATCATCACCTCCTGACTCTTGTACTCTATGTCCCTATTTATAAAGCCCAGTATCCCATATGCCATTTCGACAGCTATATCTCCCTGTCCTGCCACCTTCAAGGATTCATTTACCTGCACCCCCAGTCTCTGTGTTCTTTTACCCCCCTTAAGATTGTATTACCAGCCGATATTGCCTTCCCTCATTCTGCATAACATCGCATTTGTCTACATTGAAACTCATCTGCCATGTGTCTGCCCATTTTACCATTCTGTCTATGTCTTCCTGCAGTTGGCTCCTTCTCACTGTTTACCCCCTCCCTAACTTTGTGTCATCCGCAAACTTGGAAATGGTACTTGCTATACCCAAGTCCAGATCATTTATGTATATTAAGAAGAGCAGTGGTCCTAATACCGATCCCTGGGGGACACCACTGTACACTTCCCTCCAGTCAGAAAAGCAGCCGTTCACCACCACTCTCTGCTTTCTGTCTCCCGGCCCGTTCTGGATCCGCTGCCACTGTCCCTTTTATACCATGGGCTTCTATCTTTCTTACAAGTCTTTCATGTGGCACTTTGTCAAATGCCTTTTGAAAGTCCATATAAACTACATCAACTGCACTTTTTATCCACCCTCTCCATTACCTCATCGAAAAATTCTATTAGATTTGTTAAATTTGTTTTCATTTCTCTGTTTTATTTTATTCCCAATTTCCTTATTCATCCAGGGAGGTTTGGATGTCCTACCTTTCCCCTTTGCTATCTCCTCCTTGAAGGTTTCCCATTGATTGTTGGCTGTTTTACCTGCTAATCTATCTTTCCAGTCCACCATCTTTCTTTCTCGATCCCTTTTTAACTCACTGAAATTAGTCCTCTACCAGTTGAGTTCTTCACCTTTGATTGTTTCTTTGAGTGCACATGCACTCCTAGACCGACTGTGTCTGCTCTGCATTTCTTCCCTGTCTAATCCCTCCTTTTTCTGGATTACTCCTTATTACATTGCAATTTGTCTCTCCCAGGTCTTCATGTAACTTATTTCTTCTCTCTTATGCTACATCCTGATTCCCTTCCACCCTTTTGACTTTATAGACACTATAAAAATGCCAATTCTTCTTAACACTTTTTAGCAGTGCAGTCTTTCCAAGGCGAGGTACCTGTTCTTTGTTCCTTAGCTGGTTAATTTCATAATAATAATCCTTGCATTTGATATAGCGTCTTATCGTGTTTTCGAGACTTCTCAATGCGCTTCACAGAATATACTGTAAAGTGTGGACTGTATATTTTATGGGCGAATCCCGGCAGCCAATTGCGCACAGCAGCGACCCACAAACAGCTGTGGATTGAGTGATCAAATTATTTTTTTGAAGGGATTATTACCCCATGAAAAGTGATCCACCTAACAACTAGGTTCCTACTTATTGCTAGGTAAACAGGGGCATGTGGAGGAAGGAAATTTGCCTACGGTTTCACCCCGCCTGGGAATCAAACCCAGTTCCTCTCACTTGTGAGGCGAGTGTGCTAACCAATACCCTACAAGGACTCCACATTAATATCCCTGTTGTCCAAATATCTATCACCTTTTAAATATCTCAATCGGTTCTGCCCCTGCGGCCTTCTCAGGCAGTGAATTCCACATTATTGCAACCTTTGGTGAAATATAAATGTTTTCTGGTTTCACTTGTAACCAGCAGGTCTGAATAAATGGATTTTATTGATGTGATTTCCCCCACCGCCTGCACACCCCCCCCCCTTTCCCTTCCACCACCACATTAATGTACTTGTAGGAATCTAACGTTGTGTGAAAAGTGCTTATCATTCAAAGGATAAAGATAATTTTTTTTCTCTTGTTCTCCTTCCAACCTTGGTAATGGCCTTGGGCACTTCTTTGAAGTTTCTTAATTAAAAGAAAAGCACCCAGGGTGTAGCGACCACATTGCAGTAGCCTGATAACGCTTCAGTCAGGGTGCATACAGCACGGTATTTGACTGTCAGAAATCTTTTCATATCAACACCACCATTGTAATAATCATGACAGATCATAGAAAGTGAGCAAAAGGCTATACTTTAATTTCAAGGTTCAATTGAGGATCTTAAACCAATTGAGCTTCACTCTCGTGGCTTGTGATGTCCTTTAAACTCCGAGACTTAAATTACAACTCCTTGGCTGTGTCGCCACTGAAATGCTGCTTAAATGATGGTGATTTTAGTGTTTGACAGCAGGTAATGTAACATCAGAATGTGACATGGGATAGTAAAAAAAAAAATCCAGTTAATGGGAATGTTAACATGCCAGCGTTTCCAAGGAAGATGAAGTTAAATGTTTGAAAGAGGCAAATAAGCAAAATAAAACTTTTGACTTGGATTTATTTATTTTTGTAATTAGAGTTGCTATCTGTTAAGGTGAATAATCTGTTGGTTGTAGAACTCCATTCCATAGCACTGACGAGTATGGTGATAACGGCTGGCACAGCAATCTGAATGAACGGTCAGGCAATAGGTATGTGTGTTGGAAAAAGACAGCTTCACCGTACACAGACGGGGTAATACCTGTAGCGTATTTGGTAGGAGCACTTGCCTCGCAATCGAGAGGACCTGGATTTGACTCCCGGGCAGGACAAAACATTAAGTTTCCTTACTCCATACGCTTCTGACTACCTAGCAGTAAGTAGGAACCCATTTATTAGTCGATTGCTTTTGCGGGGAATAATCCCTTTTGAATAAATGTGATCACTCAATCCACAACTGTTTGTGGGACGCTACTGTGTGCAAACAGCTGCCGAGTTTCACCCCAGAAATAAACAGTTAATTCACTTGACAATATATTCTGTGAAGCACTTTTAGACGTCTCAACGACGTGATAAGAATTATTATTATACCGCTTGATTGTCAAGGGGAAATTGGATTTTCAGAAAGTCATTCCATTCCTTAACTAACGACGTTCCTTAACCAATAATAATAATAATAATAATAATAATAATAATCGTTGCATTTGGGACGTCTTCTAGACGTCCCAAAGCGCTTCACAGAATATACTGTAAAGTGAATTGACTGTATATTTGTGGGCGAACGCGGCAGCCAATTGCACACAGCAGTGTCCCACAAACAGTCGTAGATTGAAAATGACCAATTTATTATTGTTTTTGGTTTTGGAGGGATTATTATTAGGCTCTGTGTGGAGTAAGGAAACTTGCCCAAGGTTTCACCCTGCCCGGAATTGAACTCAGGTCTCTCACTTGCAAAGCGAGTGCTCTAACCACTGAGTTAAGGACCACTTTGTCGAGCCTCAGGTGGGGGAGTTGGGGGGTGGGCTTCAAGGTGACATTCTGGCAACGGAATTTTGGAATCGAGCCCTCTATGGTCTGTGGCGGTCTTGGTATTCTGGTTCCTGAGCCAGGGGGTTTGTGCAGAAACCAATTTAAAGACCAGTCTTTATCAACAGGGTTGGGCTTGAATCGCCCCTTACTGGACAATACAGTTGTTTCACCCAGAGGCTTTCACACTGCAAATTGTCAGCGGGTGGCGGGAGGGTTAGCAACAGTTCAATGAACTGAAACCCTTCTCTTTTTTTGAACCACCAGCAGCATTTATATGTTTATATTAATAATAATAATCCTTGCAGTTGATATAGCCCCTTATCACATCGTTCAACAACCACAAAATTACATTTCTAGAGCACTTTTCACGTCGGGAGGACGTCTCAAAGCGCTTCACAGGATATACTGTAAAGTGGATTGATTGAGTATTTTGTGGGCAAAATATGGCAACCCATTGCGCACAGCAGTGTCCCACAAACAGTCGTGGATTGAGTGACCACATGTTTTTTTATGTTTGTGTTAAGAGATGCAGTTCTAAAGAATGTAAGAGGTTGTTTTTTAGGCTCATTGAAGGGCAATTGTCTTTTTTCAGCTGACGTCCAACAGCAAGCCCAAGAGAAGTATCCAGGACCCTCAGTTTGACTACTACAACTATCAGCCGGCAGAACAAGACCTGGACGATTCTGAATTTTCCCACATCCTTGAGATCTACGACTTCCCTTCAGGATTCAAGACTGAGGATTTACTCCGAGCTTTCTCAGATTATCGGTGCGTATCTGGCCACCTCAATAGGGTGTTACCGTCCCTCAGATCACACAGTGAACAAAATAGTAAATAATAATAATGATTCTTGCATTTGATGTAATGCCTTATCACATCTTTGAGATGTCTCAAAGAGCTTCACAGGATATACTGTAAAGTGGAGAGAAAAAAAGACAAAGTACTGCAGATGCTGGAAATCTGAAATAAAAACAAGTCGCTGGGAACACGCAGTAGGTCAGGCAGCATCTCCGGAGAGGGAAAAATTAGATAACGTTGAAACATTAATTCATTTTCCTCTCCATAGATGCTGCCTGACCTGCTGCGAGTTCCCAGCAATTTCTATTGTAAAGTGAGTTGACTGTATTTTGTGGGCAACCAATTGTCCCGCAAACAGTCGTGGATTGAGTCACCAAATTATTATTGTTTTTTTTGAGGGATTATTATCAGGCGTGTTGAATAAGGAAAATTGCCCAAGGTTTTGCCCCCTGCCTGGAATCAAACCCAGGTCTCTCACTACCGAGACGAATGCTCTAACCACTGAGCTACAGGACTCTTATGTCCTATATATGTGTATATATATATATATATATATATATAGCTTTTGTGTGGAGGCTGCCAATGTTACCGTCCTCTTTAGGACCTGTAGGCTATTTCTGCCTGCATTTCACTTATTGCGAATTTCCACTGATGGTACAAGGTAGTGTTAATGAATGCAGTTTGGATATGAAGCAGGATTCTTTTGATAGTCTCTGTAATTGATTCAGGGTGAGAGGATGTTTCACCCCGACGCTGTCGAAACTGGGGACTTGCAGATCTGACATTTCTCATTGTTGCACTTAATTTTTGGACTGCCTGCAGAAAGTATGTTACAAAAAAAGGGATATTGACTCCAGAAATTCACCATTTATCTTCGAGATATGATTTATGTTTGTATGTTTGGTGAGGATCACTATTGTGAGAGGCAAAAGCTTACTCATTTCAAATATATGTGAAGTAGTGAGTGTATCGTGAGTATATGTGACATCAGTCCTTTACCCTCGCTCTTGCACTGCAGAATAAAAAGGCTATATACTGTATAACACTGAATAACATGACTGTCATTAGCCCTCCAGTCTCTCTGTCCCTCTCTCTGTTTTTCCTCCTTCTCTCACTCTCTCTAGCTCCCCTTCTGTGTCTCTCTTCCTCTCTCTTTCCCTCTATTTCTCTCTTCCTCTCGCTTCCCTTTCTACCTCTCTCTCGCTCTGCCTCTTCTCCCATCCGCTCTTTCCCCCTCACTCTCCCCTTTCTCTGTCCTCCCTCTATCTCACCCTTTTCTTCCCCCCTTTCTCTCCCTCTCCACCGCACCCCCACTTCTCTCTCTCTCTCTCTCCATCACCTCAAATGCTGATTTACTGAAAGGTTAAAAGTCGTTTAGAATGATTTGGGTTTCACTGTGTGATAGTGTAATGGATTGAAAAGCTCTCTTTCTCACAGTGATCATTTTTCAATAAGTCCATCCATCAGTCAGTGCTATTGGTATTTCTTTATGTAGCGAGCATTCACTTGGCACTTGTTCATAGTTTAACGGGTTTAATTACTTCGGACTCGTCCTTTCCACAATTTCTGACTCAAGCCATAAATAAGAATCTTCTCCATCCACTCAGTCAATTGCGAAAGCATTACTTTCTGTAATGGCAAAGTAAATGCATTTCAAGAACACTACCAGTCTGCCAAAACCACTTTATAATTCCTCAGCTCATGTATTGTCGGTGGATAATTTGTCAAATCAACAAAACATTCTCCACACTCGAGCGTTAAGCTGCTGCTCTGTTATTTTGAAAATAATTTATCCAGGGCGTGTGGCATTCACAAAATTACAAGAGGTTTTGATGAAAACTATTTGGACCACTTCATAGAAACATAGCAACAGGAGTAGGCCATTCAACCCCTTGAGCCAGTTCCGCCATTCTATTAGATCATGACTGATCTGTACCTCAACTCCAATTATTTGGGGGATTGTTGGCCAGGATACCGGAGAGAGAAACTCCCTTCTCATTTCAAATAGTGGATTGGGATAACTAACATCCATCTGAACAGGCAGACGAGACCTCTGTTCACCCAAAGGATGGATAGCTGCACAAGGAAAGACTGGATAACTGGTTTGACTAGAAGACTTTAATCTGTGAATCCTATTGTGGTTCCAGAAGAATATCTTTACTGTCTTCCCATGTTTAGTGAGTCCCATTGCCGTAGCCTCAGCCTCATTTCCTCACAATCTGATTCAGCTGCTCGTTACCCCCTGTGTAAAGAAATACTTCCTGCTGCCTATTCTAATATTGCCCTTCACACCCTTACCTGTTCCTCATGTCTAGCTGCCTCAGCGTATTTGATAGTATTCTTCTGGGTTTATTATCTCACTCACATTTTGTGTCTTATGTACTCCAAGGTTCCCTCTAAGATATCTACTTTCGAGGCTGAAAGCCCTAGTTTATCTAATTATAATCCTTGCATTGGATACAGCACCTTTCACTTCAGAAGGACATCTCAAAGTAACTTGAGGATAACTTCACAGGTGAAGTGCAGTGACTATTTTCTAGACAGTTATCTAGTCTTTGCAGCTTTTGATGATTTGGATGATTTGAGGTCCCATCTGCCTATCCAGTTGGACGTTAAAGATCCCATGGCACTATTCGAAAAGAGAAGTTCCTCCCAGTGTCCTGGCCAACACTTCCCCAAATAACCACTTTATAATTCGGGAGGCGGGATCGGCGGGGGTGGAGGGCATAGGGAGACCAAAGGCTCGGTCAAAGAGGATGGTCTTGAAGGAGGTAAGGGAGAGGGCGAGGCGGAGAAACTGCGGGATGGAGTTCCAGAGGGTGGGCGCAGAGTGGCAGAAGGCCCACCCGCCAATGGTGGGGCGGGTGAGGTGGGGCACGTGAAGCAGGCCAGAACCCGCTGAGTGGAGGGAGCGAGCAGGTTGGTAGGGAGTTAGTAGGTCGCAGAGGTCCGGGGGAGCAAGGCCATGGAGGGCTTTGAAAGTGAGGACCAGAATCTTGAACTATATCCTCTGTGTGATGGGAAGCCAGTGAAGTCGGGCAAGGGGGTGATAGGGTCACTGAGCCTGGTCCGGGAGAGGACACGGGCTACAGAAATCTGGATAATCTGCAGCCTATGGAGGGAGGAGTTGGGGAGGCCGACAAGCAGGGAGTTTGGATGTATGAGGGTTTCGGCGGCCTGTGGTGTGAGACAGTGATAGAGCCGAGCAAAGTTGCGGAGGTGGGCGAAGGTGGAGCAGGTCATAATAATAATAATCCTTGCAGTTGATATAGCGCCTTCGAGACAAAATATATGTGAAGTGAATTTACTCAGCCTCCCCAACTCCTCCCTCCATAGGCTGTAGATCATCCAGAACTCTGCAGCCCGTGTCCTCTCCCGCACCAGGCTCCGCGACCCTATCACCCCCATCCTTGCCCATCCTCCCATTACACAGAGGATCCAGTTCAAGACCTTGGTCCTACCTTCAAAGACCTCTACGATCTTGCTCCCCCCTACCTCTGCGACTTCCTAACACCCTATCATCCTGCCTGCTTCCTCCGCTCAGTGGGCTCCAGCCTGCTTCACGTCCCCTGCCTCGCTCGTCCTACTATTGGTGGGTGAGCTTTCTGCCACTCTGCCCCCACCCTCTGGAAGTCCATCCCCCAGTCCCACCGCCTCGCCCCTTCCCTTTCCATCTTCAAGACGCATCTCAAGATCCTCCTCTTCAACCGTGCTTTTGATCTCCCTGCTTCCCTCCCTGCCTCCACTCTCCCCGACCAGCTCGGGTCTGTAACTCTGTCTGTACAGTGCCTTGGAATGTCCTCCCAATATGAAAGGCGCTTTTCAAATGTAATTTTGTTGTTGTATATTTTGTGGGCAAAGCGCAGCCAAATTGCGCGCAGCAGTGTCCCACAAACGTGTCATGGCACGGATGTGGGGTATGAAGGTCAGTTGAGGGTGGACCGCTGAGATTCCATATTAGCTCAATGAGTTGTAGAGTGCATCCATGGAGGAAGATGCTGTCAGCGCCTGAGGTACGGAGGTGCTGAGGGGACCAAGCAGGAGGGCATGGGTTTTGTTGACATTCAACTACAGAAAGTTACTCTCATCCAGCACTTGAGGTCCAATAGGCAGTCGATGAGGACAGTAGTGGACCTGGAATCAAGGGTGGAGGCAGAGAGATAGAGTTGGGTGTCATCCGCATACATGTGAAAGTTGACCCCATGTCTGAGGAAGATGTCACCAAGAGGAAGCATGTAGATATTGAAAAGGAGAGGGCCAAGGACAGAGTCCTGAGGAACACCACATGTGACGATGCGGGGGATGGAGGAGAAGCCGTTAGTGGCAACAAAGTGGAGACGGTGGCAGAAGTAGGATTCGAACCAGGCAAGGGCAGGTCCGCAAAGATTGAGTGGAGAGGAGAGGCAAGGGAGGAGGATAGACTGGTAGACAGTGTCGAAGGCAGCAGAGAGGTCAAGAAGGCAGAGAGAGCTCTGGTCGCAGATGTTCAGAATGTCGTTGTGAGTTTGACCAGTGCTGTTTCTGTGCTTTGAGTGGCACGGAAACCTGATTGGGGAATGGTGGGAGAGGAAGGAGCAAAGCTGGGAGGCAACGACTCGTTCCAGGGCCTTGGAGAGGAAAGGGAGGTTGGAGATGAGGCATTAGCTGGAGAGTAGGGATGGTTCCAGGGTTTTTGGAGGACGTTGGTGATGACAGCTGTTTTCAGGTAGCTGGGAACAGGTCCAGTGGATAAGGAGAGGTTGATAATGACTGTTAAAAGAGGAGCCACGAGATGGAACTGGGAGGAGAGGAGAGGGGTGAGGGTGGGGCCGAGGCAGCAGATGGTGGGCTTTATTCTTAAAACGATGGAGGTGAGGGAAGAGGGATGTGTAGGGATGGATGGGTGGGAGGCCGGGGCGTGAGGGGAGGTGGCACGGGGGGGTTGGTGGTGGATGGGGGAGAGGTATTTGAACAATTCCTCTTGATTTTGGATTTGAGGAAGTCCAACACCGATTCGTGGTTGGAATTTTAAAAAAATCCCACACTGACTTCATAATCTCACTAAGGCCACAAGGGCAGTAAGTGCGACTTCATTGCTGATACACTGGAGCAAATGGGAATGAAGTGAATGACCGATTAATCTTCAGGATTGTTACCCAGGACAACGGCAATGCTACTTTAAGGTCGGTGTTAGGCCATATATTGTGGAGTCCTGTAGTGTATTGGTTAGAGCACTCACCTCGCAAGCGAGAGGACCTGAATTCGATTCCTTGGCAGTGCGAAATGTTAGGAAAGATTGTTTACTCCACACGCCTGTTTACCTAGCGGTAAGTAGGAACGGTTTGTTAGCTGATTGTCGGCTCGCTTTTCCGGGGTGTAATAATCCCTTCAAAAATAAAAATAATAAAAATTTAGTCACTCAATCCGCTACTGTTTGTGGGACGCTGCTGTGGCTGCTGCGTTTCGCCCACAAAATATACAGTCAGTTCACTTTACAGTATATTCTGTGAAGCGCTTTGAGACATCGCGAACATGTGAGGCACTATATCAAACAATCAAGCAACGCTTATTATATACAGTACTATTAGTAGTAATAGTAGTACACATCCCTCCATTGAACCCTCTCTCAATCCCCTCCCCCCCCCCCCCTTAAAAAATGTTTGGAAATTAGAGTCTATTTTAACTTCTCATGAATTCTATGAAATGTATGCTAAGTACTTAGAATCAGCTAGGCTGGCCATTTTGAAATGTAACATGGCAGGAGTACAATAGCCAGGACTTATGTTTGTGACAAGTTAGCATTCCATCATATTTGCAATTGGAGAAAGATAATTGAAATTGGGCTTTCACGATTCAAATTGAGTAACCTGTCAGCTCCCAACAATGCATTCCTTCACAATCCGTGCAGCGCTCCTATCAGTAAATTACTGTTTCTCTTTCTTTCTATTGCAAAAAGTAATGTAAAAAATTTTCTCTGCCATTTTATTATATTTAGGAAACCTGTAGTGTTGTGGTTAGCCCACTCGCCTCGCAAGCGAGAGGACCCAGGTTCGATAACCGGGCAGGATGAAACCTTAGACAAGTTCCTTTACTCCACACGCCTCTTTTTATCTAGCAGTCGATTAGCGGGGGTAATAATCCCCGCAATTGGCTACCGTGTTTTGCCCAAACACATTCAATCCACTTTACAGTGGAACACTTTGAATGTCTCAACGATGTAATAAAGGTATTTTAACTGCCAAGATTATTATTATTTTACATCCTAGTGATTATTACAAAAGGGATCACTGAGAATGATCGTGGCTCTCCCAAAGTCATGCTTCCTCCTACCCTCTCCCAAACTCCTTATTCCTGTCAAAATTGCTTTACAAAGGATCTTAACTTTGCTATAGAATATCATTTCTGTGTATACCTAAGTGCCGGGGAGGAGAGCTGGTCAGGAGCACTCAGCCACTGTAGAAGATTGGTTAATCAAGCCAGATTGTGCAGTAAACACAATTGCTTCCCATTATAGATCGAGGCTAAGGGTTCACCAATCAGTTTCATAAAATTAATGTGGACTCTTCACAATTATGGCAATTACTTCATTAATCGGATTCCCTGCTGTTTTGCTTTTATCCATTGCTCTGGTTTTGTTAGTAAAGAGTCCTTCAGGATTTGAGCAGTTCCAGATGCTTTCTTTTGCAGTGTTTGTGATTGTGCAGATTTGTAAACAAAAATTCTTAAATTCTTAAAATGGAGTCCTGTAGCTCAGTGATTAGAGCACTCGTCTCACAAGCAAAAGGACCTGGGTTTGAATCCTGGGCAGGGCGAAATGTTGGGCAAGTTTCCTTACCCAGCAGTAATTAGGAACTTCATTGTTAGTCGATTGGTGGATCGCTTTCCGGGTGTAATAATCCCTTAAAAAAATAATAATTTGGTCACTCAATCCACGACTGTTTGTGGGACACTGCTGTGCGAAATTGGCTGCCGTGTTTCGCCCACAAAATATGAAGTCAATTCGCTTTACAGAATATTCTGTGCAGCGCTTTGAGACATCATAAAGACGTGAAAAGGTGCCATATCAAATGCAAGGATTATTATTGTTAATATTAATTTTGTAGCTAGCTTTCCGCAGTTCTTCAAAAGATCCTTTGATGCACTTGCTTCCCAAGTTTCCACTTGTTCCTTCGATGGGTTTGTGATCTAGTTCCCTTACTCCTTTTCTTTTGAGGAAGTTATTGTGTGTCTGCATGGGTCAGTCAAGAGTTGGAGGGCTAGGGTTTAAGCACCTCCCGGTCAGGATTTTGAACTCACCGCCCAGGGGAGTGCTGCATTGTTGGCACCGCTGTTCTTCGGATGAGATATTAAACCTGCGTTTCATCTGTGCCTGTTCAGGAAGGTTCTCTCTCCTGGTGAACTGGCCAACAATTTCGCCCACAAAACACAGTCAATTCACTTTACAGTACATTCTGTGAAGTCTGAGTGATAAGGCGCTACATCAAATGCAAGGATTATCATCATTATTGTTATTATCCCCCAGATAAAAATCGTCATTCACTTCATGGCTGTTTCTGGCTTATTGCTGTGCGCAAATTGGCCGCCTACAGAATACACAGTCACTCTATTTGACAGTAAATCCTGTGAAGCGCTTTGAGGCACCCTCCCCACTTGAAAAGCGCTCAATGATTTTGCGAGGATTATTTTGATGATGGTGATCTGCGAGTGGTAACAAAGCCGTGTTCTTTGGTAGGAAGAAAGGATTTGACGTGAAGTGGGTGGATGACACGCATGCTTTAGCCTTATTCGCCAGCGCAATTGCAGGTAAGTTCTCAGGTTTATGACTTTTCCTCTGTCGCGAGGCACATCACGGACAGCTCAGCTCATTGGGGTTGTGATGAAATCTGCCTGGGAGGTGCATTCACATTCAGCACTCACAATGTGCAAATCATTAGATTTCATTGTCATCACGAAGTGTGTTTCAAACTTCATGTCCCGCCTTCCCGGCAATTGGCTCCACCTCTCCGGCTTGTTGGCTCCACCTCCCCAGCATTGGCTCCACCTCTCCGGCTTGTTGGCTCCACCTCCCCAGCATTGGCTCCACCTCTCCGGCTTGTTGGCTCCACCTCCCCAGCAATTGGCTCCACCTCTCCGGCTTGTTGGCTCCACCTCCCCAGCAATGGCTCCACCTCTCCGGCTTGTTGGCTCCCCTTCCCCAGCAATTGGCTCCACCTCTCCGGGTTGTTGGCTCCACCGCCCCAGCAATTGGCTCCACCTCTCCGGCTTGTTGGCTCCACCTCCCCAGCAATTGGCTCCACCTCTCCGGCTTTTGGCTCCACCTCCCCAGCAATTGGCTCCACCTCTCCGGCTTGTTGGCTCCCCTTCCCCAGCAATTGGCTCCACCTCTCCGGCTTGTTGGCTCCACCTCCCCAGCAATTGGCTCCACCTCTCCGGCTTGTTGGCTCCACCTCCCCAGCAATTGGCTCCACCTCTCCGGCTTTTGGCTTCACCTCCCCAGCAATTGGCTCCACCTCTCCGGCTTTTGGCTCCACCTCCATGGTGGTTGGCTCCACCTCTCAGTTCTTTTTAACTGTGAATCTGATGGAGAATTGGGGACTTGGCAATTAGCAATGTTAATGTTGGCCTCTTGGAGTGGAGAGGGGGCAATCGGAAACAAAGGCATCTTGTGGAGAGAGCAGAGTGTGAGAAACTGAGATGCTGGAGGGAGAAACCACAGCGAAAACATTCTGATAGGAAGGGAATAAGACTAAGACACTCCAAGCGAAAGGTCAAATCAGGGGATCAGACTGTGAAGGTACACATTTACTATATTTATTGTTGCTTTGGGAGTGAGTGAGGTGCTTCTTTCCTGCTCTTATACATTCTTTTATGTTTTCTCTATAAGGCTACAGTAATTGCCACAAAACGCTTCAAGATGAGACGTTTTGACATTGTAAAACGCTATATAAATGCAAGTTCTCTCTCCTCTCTCTCTCTCTCCCTCCCTGCCTATTATTCCTGTATTTTTATGGAGAGCTTCCTCTATGCGGCCTCACATCAGATTAATTGTTTCTGCGATGTTCTGGATGCATTTCCACCTGTGTCCCAGATTGAAGCATGATGATAGGATCATGCGTTGCGTCACCCAAACTCTGCCTTTCCCTTGGAGAAAATGCTGAGCCATTTTGGGATATTATGATTATGGATGTGGGATAATGGATGAGTCTCAGTTCAGCTACAAAGCTGAAATTCAATTGAACATAAATCGTGCAAAATGATGCAAGAGCAGTTTTACTAACAGCAGCAGCCGGAAAATGTGGACATCTGCTGATGTGCCATCACTCTTTCCCCACTGAATAGTCTGTACAGTGACTGGCGATCTCTCCTGTTTAATTGCGTTACAGAAGCATTCGAGGGAAGTTTTCTCTCTCCGTGCAATGGGCAGCAGCTTAAAAAGGGGTTTTAATTTAGGATTATCTGCATTGCGATGTAGAACGGGTACTCACTGTTGCGATCAATGCCCGGGGGTAAGGCAGCCGTTGAAACATAAGGTGACTGATGAGGAACCTGGATAGAAAATTGCACAGTGGAGAAAGTAATCATCAGTGTCACAGCCAGCATGTCAATCACTGCCCATGGACCCATCCTTTCCTCTGCCTGTGCCACACGTCAGGTCAGCTACTTAGAATCGAGAAAGTTTCCATAAATATTCATTTTACATCTTGCCTTGTGGGGTGTACACTGGCTCCTTGGCTTTAGTACTTTGTCTGCAGTGTAAGGTCGTAGAGGCAGTCGATTGGGATGTTTAAAAAGGAAGATGGAGTGAGAGAAAGAGGAGAGAGAGAATTTGAAGTAAAGGTGTGCAGAAAAGACAGGTAATGGGACTACAAAACCTACCATAATCCAATAAACTGGTGGAACAAGAACAACATTGTTGGGTTGAATGGCTGTTTTGTTTTGTGTTCCTAGCACAGTCTGTCCCCCAAATCATAAAACTACACAATTTATAAAGAGGTTTCACCCCACTCAACAAAATTGATCCCCTAAACTGAGACTTTCACAATTAATCCTGTTCTTGCCCGGTTTCACTGGCTCCCCAACCTTCAGAGAATCGCGTACAAAACCCTCGTTCTCACCCTCAAAGCCCTCCATGGTTTCCCACCTCTCCAACTTCTTACCCCTTATCAGCTTGTCCGCTCCCTCTGCTCGGCTTCAGGTCCCCCACACTTCCCGCCCCAGAATTGATGGTCTGGCATTCAGCATTCTGCCCCACGCTCAAAAAACCCCTGTCGAGCGCCCTGGGACATCTTTCCGATGTGAAGGGTTCTACACAAGTGTAATCTGTTGTTATTGTTTCACAAGCCTGAGTGAGACAATACCCAAAGCCAAAATGAATGAATAAGATAGTTTTTGAAAAAAATATACAAGTTAGTGTTGAGAAGAGATTGTAGAATGTTTACAACCCACACAGAGAATATTGATAATATTGTGTCTGTCCCTACTGAAGCTCTCTGCTCTAGTCCTGTTCTTTGCTCTCCCTCTGTAGCCTCGAGCTCACAGCCCAGGTTGGGGCAGCGATGTATTGTTGGAGGTGCTGTCCTTCTGATGCCATTTGCTGTTATTTTTATCTACAAACAAACAAGAAATTTTATTTACACGGCGCTTTTAAGATCGGCTGGATGTCCCAAGGCGCTGGACAGTCAAGGATTTGCACCCAAGCTGGGGTTGGGATCAGGAGAACTGGGGAACAGGGAGGGTAGAGGTAGGAGGGTGACCGAAGGTGCGATCGAAGAAGAGGGTCTTGAAATGGGCCTTGAAAGAGGCAAGGCAGGGGGTGAGGCGAAGTGACTGGTGGATGGCGTTCCAAAGGGTGGGAGCAGAAAGGCTGAAGGCCCGACTGCCAATGGTTGAGCAGGCAGGGTGGGGAACATGGAGTAGGCTGAGCGGAGGTACCAATGATAGTACTCTTGACAGCGATTCCCTGTGAATGTCTTTGAGACACGAGAAGATGCTATTAGAAAGCTCTTTCTTGAAGCTATTAAGTTTTGTTGCGTCTCAGATAAAAGTACACATTAGTGACTTTAGGAAAAGACTTATAGATGTTTTCCGTTAAATATAATCTCCAGTATTAATAGCTTTTATTAAAATCAACGTAAATCACGACGGCTGAAAATGGGCCATCACGTGATTTCCACAATGGCCCTCCATGGCCTTCAGTCATTGCATCCTTTTTATTGTCTAATTCTTCAACCAATTTTGCAGTCATTTGAACATTATCTCAGAAGCACTCCTGCCTCAATCGCTGTCTCCGAAGCAGCTTCTAACCTGACTCTATAATGTTTGTCATTGTTGCCTGTATTCATTTTCCGAGCACTGTCATCAGCCGTTCTCCTACGCATTGAAACCGCAAGGCGTGAGGCAAACACGAATCCACGAACAAGAGAGAGTCCAGAGCTACACGCCTGAGATAATGCAAAAACAAGTTCGATATAATAATAATCTTTGCTCTAAAAACAGAAGTCGCTAGGAACACGACTTTCACAATGCCTCTCACATCAGAAGGATGTCTGAAGGCGCTGGACAGTTAGGGATTTGGACCTGCGCGGGGGGTTGGGATCAGGAGGGGTGATCACCTTTCAATATGGAGGTCACAGAGGCAGGGAGGAGCAAGGCCTTGAAAATGAGGACCAGGAGTTTGAACTCTATCCTCTGAGAAATGGGAAGCCAGTAGAGCCGGGCAAGGGTGGCGCTGATGGGGTTACGGAGCCTGGTGCGGGAGAAGACACGAGTTGCAGGGATGATCTGCAGGTTCTGGAGGGAAGAATTGGGAAGACCGACGGGGGAGTAAGCATAGTCGAGCCTGGATGTGATGGATACTCACTCAGCGGTGATTAGGAGCAATTAATCCCTATCCGATTTTTTTTCCAGCTAGGAGAGTGAAGCCAGTTGTGCATTTTGTGGGACTACTTTCCTGACTGAGAGAATGAATGTGAATTTCTAACTTTGACCTTGGCTGTTTCGGGGCTATAATCCCAGCTGAGTGGACAGGCTGGAAGTCTGGGCCCTGGCCTCTACCAACTAACTAGGAAAGCTGACTAGTCTGGTTTATCTGTTAGAAGCTTACGTGGGAATGCTTGGCATCCGAATACCAACGCTGAGACAAGGCGTTTGATGTGTTAGGAATTGTTGATCCAGATATCTGTGTAGTTGCCCAGTGGATCAAAGAGACCAGCTTCTGGGGCTACCATGCCAACCTGTGGAGAAGACATTGTGAGTTGATTGACAGAGGTTGATTCCAGGTGTAATAAACCCTTCAACAATAAGTGAATTTAGTGAAAACAATGCTGGAGTCGGCTGTGCACAAGAGTCCGATTAGAGACTGCTGATGTCCTTGTTACAGAAGGAAAAGCGCCATTGCTACTTTGGGGGCTTGGGACTGATGACTGGAGCAGTTTGTATGGCGGCCAGGGAACAAAGACTACCTATTTATGTGCTTCATTATCACCTGATGGTTAGACAGCAATCTATTTTCTGAGCGTGCAAGCCATTGGAATGTTTCATTATCCAGATGTCCTGCTACATGAGAAAATGTGCCTCTTGTCGATTTGTGTGTTGTGTGTGTATGTCTTGTGTGTTTGTGTTTGTTTGTGTCTTGTGTTTGTGTGTTGTGTGTGGTGTGTATGTGTTGTGTGTATCTGTACAGTGACACACAAATCAGCCATAATAATAATAATAATCCTTGCATTTAATGTAGCGCTTTTCACGTCGGGAGGATGTCCCAAAGCGCTTCACAGAACACACTGTAAAGTGAATTGACTGTATATTTGTGGGCGAACGCGGCAGCCAATTGCGCACAGCAATGTCCCACAAACAGTCGTAGATTGAAAATGACCAATTTATTATTGTTTTTTTGTTTTGGAGGGTTTATTATTAGGCTCTGTGTGGAGTAAGGAAACTCGCCCAAGGTTTCGCCCTCTGCCTGGGATTGATCCCAGGTCTCTCGCTTGCAAATCAAGTGCTCCAACCACAGGACTCCAGCCATGGTGGTCGTAAAACTGATTGGAGCCAAATGTCTATTATCTCAGAACCTCAACTTTAAGATTCTTACATAATAAAAACCAGTGGCTGGGAACAGGTCAGGCAGCATCTGTGGAGAGAGGAAAATGAGTTAAGGTTTCAGGTCAATGATCTTTTGTCAGAACTTTAAGATCCTGACCTTGTTTTTTAAAACTGTCCAAGGTTCACCTCCAGATCTCCTCCCACTCCAGCCTCCCCCACCCCGAGCCCCTTCCCCTCCCCCTCCAGCCTCCTGTCCCCCTCCAGCCTCCCCTCCACCTCCAGCCCTCCCCTCCTCCTCCACCCTCCCCTCACCCTCGAGCCCTCCTCTTCCCCTCCAGCCCTCCTCCCCCTCTTCTCACCTGGGCTATTCCTCACGCCCCACTACTCTCCGCCCTTACCTTCTTGGGCACTTCCAAAATCTCTCCTTCTTCCCCCCTTTAAATCTCTCCTAAAAGCAAAGTTTTTGTACCTTGCTACTGTTTACCATTGCTCACGCTCCCCTTTGGCTGCTTGCTGCTCAGCTCCACATGTGTCTGGCGTTATATGGAGCATTCCTTCATATGACAGACGCTATTCAGTGCAATAGATCTGACTCTGATTTGACTCTTGGTGTTTAACTATTTCTGATTCTGGTAAGAAAAAACAGTTCAGAACAACCACTGATCCGATGTCCATAACTAAACGGTCCTAAACTAAACCAACCATCCAGATATGAGGTGATTTAACCTGCGTCAGAATAAGACCAGTTACTTACTGGTCCAGAACCATTAACTTGGGTGGCTTTCTGACTACTAATTGTGCCTGTCCTCCTCACTCCCTCACCCTCCCCCAAAAATCCTTTTTATATTTTTCTTTTCAAGTTTTTGTCTGATTCCCTTCCAAAAGCTGTAGCAAATAGCTTGTAAAAGGCAAGTATTGGTTATGGCTGACCTCCCCACGAGAGTTTACAGACAGCAGAACGGGCCAATACAATGTCTGCTGGAACGAGACACGCTTTAAGCACGGCAAGGAGATTCCATACTTATCGGACTTTCACTTAAACAACTAGTAATGTCAGCAAGTGTAGGCTAACCTAAATACATCCATCTGACTCAGCTGGTAGCACTCTCAGAAGGTTGTGAATTCAAACCTCGACAACCCAGTGGGAAAGTATTGGAACCCTCCCTCTATCCCTCCGCCGTGCCCCTGCCTTCCCCATCTTCAGGTCATGCTCAAAGACCTTCTCCAGCCCTTATCGCCGTGCTCCGCCACCGTCAAGCGCTCTGGGCTGCTACCCTGTGTGAGGGGTGCTATGTATAAGTTGTTGTTGTTTGAGGTGCCATCGTTCGATGGAGACATGTCCCCAGCTCCCATCTTCCTTTTCTGTCCGGGTGGAAATTAAAAGATTCCATTGCACAGTTTGAAAAGAGAAGGGAGTTTTGCCCAGTCACGAGTCCTCCTATATTTTGCGGGCGAAACGCAGCAGCCAATTGGGCACAGCAGCGTCCCACAAACAGTCGTGGATTGAGTGATCAAATTTTCTTTAAAAAATCATTTTTGCAAGGGATTATTACCACTCGAAAAGCAGGTCAACCGGGTTCCTTTTTACTGCTGGTAAACAGAGGCACGTGAAGTAAGGAAACTTGCCTAAGTTTTAGCCCTGCCCGGGAATCCAAACCAGGTCCTCTGGCTTGTGAGGCGAGCGCTCTGACTACTACACTGCAGGACTCCACACTTATTTTTGTGTTTCCCTTCCAGAAACATAACATAACATTGATGGGTTATGGAGGGAGCAGGTGGCCAGATGAAATGGGGGGTAGGGGTGGTGAAATTGGCCCACGGGTCGCCAGTTGGACCACCCTGTAACCGTTCCCTTTTACCCCACTCCTCTCACCCCCACTTCACACCTCCGACCTTGAGGATACTCACTGCGCTTCACCATCCACAAAACTAAAGGTTAACATAATTGCTTGCATTGTTTACTGCAAGTGTTCGAGAGCTAATTAATCATCGGCCGTTTTCTTGGTTTCCTGCAGCACGTGATGCCCTCGCCGGCAGACATCCCATGCTGAAAACCCGACCTTTGTCACAAGCCTCGAGATCAGCGAAGGTGAAGGCGAGAAGCTGTGCAGGTGAGAGCGAGAGCGTAATTACACTTGATTAAAGGCTTCACAGTTTGCCAGCTACATTGATGCCTTAATGGCCTGACCCACATTTATCACGAAGCACAGAGAGCATCGCGCTGTCTTCTGGCGTGAGTATCTCCTCTCCACAGGTTGTCGTTACCCAAGGCTGATCAGCCCAACCGCAAGTTGTAAGTCAAAATAAAGAATTACAACAGTGGGAGAGCGAGCCCCAGCACAGACATGATGAGGAGAGAAAGCAAGGAATGGGGTTAACGTAGAGAGCTCCAGTGAGGGAGTGAGCCCCAGCACAGACACCATGGGGAGAGAGAGAGAGCCGAGAATGGGGTTAGAGTAGAGAGCTCCAGTGGGGGAGCGAGCATCAGCACAGACACGATGGGAGAGAGAGAGAGAGAGAGCAGGGAATGGGGGGATTAGAGTAGAGCGCTCCAGTGGGGGAGCGAGCATCAGCACAGACACGATGGGGAGAGAGAGAGAGAGCAGGGAATGGGGTTAGAGTAGAGAGCTCCAGTGGGAGACAAAGTACCAGTATAAATACAATGAGCCACCAACCTCATGTGCTGGAAACGTTCTCTAAATATGTAAACTATGTAAAGTATGTAAACATTTCTACTGTTGGGACACTGCTTGCACCAAACCAGATAACCTGCTGGCCATTAAGTGTTGAGGTTTGATGATTGAAAATAGATCTCTCCCGTCCCCAACAAACTCTCTCTCTCTGTTTTCCAACAACAACCACAGCCTTAATTTATACAGCACGCCTCACATAGGGTAGCATTCCAGAGTACTTGGAAGGAGCCAGAGGAAGAGGGGGGTAGAGCGAGGGATGTATGGGATCTAATAATAATCCTTGCATTTAATGTAGCGCCTTATCGCATCTTCAAAGCACTTCACAGATTTTGCAGTAAAGTGTAGTGACTATATTTTTTGGGAGAGACACATTGAGTGTTCGGGCAGCTGTAATCGGGCGTTGAAGGGACCGTGATTACATTGTTACGCTCGATTAATATTCTCTGTCTGTTTATTTGTTTAGTGTGAGAGCACAGGCAGCACAAATGTACAATTTTTCGTTCAATTAAAAACATTCCATTACAAAAGAGAGTCCCAAGGCATCCTCGTTCTCATGGCTCCGAATGATTATCTAACCCACAGATGGATCGCTCCCCCACCCAAATGCTTGACTCGACAACAGCCGAGATACGATTTGTTTCCAAATTACCATATAATTTGCCCGTTGTCACAAAAATTACATAAAACGTGTGAATCTCACTCCTTCCCAAAACTTCAGGAAACAACTGAAAAATAAGCTCAGGTTCTCAACTTCTCAAAAGATTTTCAATATCCTATCCCTCGACTTCTAATGGCTGTAAAGTGTCAGCACTCTCCCCTCTGGATCAAGTGATTAAGTAGTGATGCCGGACAAGTTTTTTGAGTTAAAAGTCTATGATAAAACTCCTTGTTTTTGATATAGCGCCTTATCGAGTCGTTCAGATGTCTCCAAGCTCGTCTCAGAATGTACTGAGAAGTGAACTGACTGTATATTTTGTGGGAGAAACACGGCAGCCGATTGCTAGGCTGGTGCTGGAGGGAGTGTGCGGTGTCGGAGGTGCTACGCTTTGGATGAGATGATAAACCAAAGTCCCGGCCAAGAATCTCCCAAATAAAATGGTCGTTCACTCCAGGTTATTCCACAGATGTTGACGCCAGCAAATTGGCTTGTACATTTGCCTACAAACAGATAATCACTGCACTTAACAGCATTTACCTGTGCAGCACTTTTGAGTCAATTTGCTGTAATAGGCTCTGGATGGCATATAAAGCTTTACATCTGCACCACCTGTTGGCTCATTATGGTTTGAACCAAACAGTGGCATTAATTCTTGGCTTATAGTCCACGGGAGACGCAGCTCATTAGCATTCTCTTTACGGGGAAACATTTGGAGTGATGCGCTGTCGGCTTCGCAGTGTTCCCTTGTTTCAGTGAGTAGTTGTCACGACCGTCATTTTGCCAGCGTTCCCCCCGTGGCTGGATGTGACTGCTCACATTGACACCTAGTGGTTTGGACCGGAACTGTTTTTTTTTCTCCCCAGCCGAGTGTCTTAACACGTGCGGAAACCCCTCACCGTTGCTCAAGGGTCTCCAAACCCAACCCAGAATTCCCTGCATCCCACCTACACATAATAATAATAATAATAATAATCCTTGCATTTGATATAGCGCTTTTCACGTCGGGAGGACGTCCCAAAGCGCTTCACAGAACACACTGTAAAGTGAATTGACTGTATATTTGTGGGCGCGGCAGCCAATTGCGCACAGCAATGTCCCACAAACAGTCGTAGATTGAAAATGACCAATTTATTATTATTTTTTTTTTTTGGAGGGATTATTATTAGCCGTGTGGAGTAAGGAAACTTGCCCTAGGTTTCGCCCTGACTGGAATTGAACTCAGGTCTCTCACTTGCAAAGCGAGTGCTCTAACCACTGAGCTACAGGACTCCACAACCATGTGCACTTACCGGCCAGCTGCAATGAATCGCGGGAAACATAGTCTTGAACCATTGCCTGATGCGCAAAAGAACTTCCATTTCCTGCGATTCAACGCTTGCTGGTAAGCAAGCTGGTAACATGGAGCCTGGAGAGAGATTGTTGGAATGGAATGCGCTCTCTCTCTCTCTCTCTCTCCCTGGAGAGACGCCCCCTGTTTACCTAATTCTAGAAAGTATTAGGCGCAGGTTGGCAAGAGCCAAGGCTTGGGGGGGATCCCAGAGTGCGTGTTAGGGCAACTGCTGGAGTCTAACCATCTAAAACCACATAGCTTGCCATTGAGAGCATTGTCTGACGAGCTTTCCCGGTGCTTGTCCAACAACAACAACTTGCATTTACATAGCGCCCCTCGTGCAGGGTAGCGTCCCAGAGCGCTATACTGGATGAGATCAGCTAGGGCCAGAGCTGCAATAGCTCATGGAGGATTCGGACGATCACAAAAGATTCGGATGATAAAGCCCCTTCGGCCCGTTTGATCTCATCCTTCCACAATAAGCATCTTTCTATTACAGCATCAAGCTACTTCTTCAATGGGTTTAATTAGCAATGAATCACTATTTGGTTAATGACCTTTTATAGCAGCAGGTTATCCTCCATATCAGGCTCCACTGGATCCATGTGCCCCAACGGAATGATTTCAAGCTCCTCGCCCTCACTTGTAAATCCCTTTATAATGCAGCACCTATCTATCTCTGTGATCTCCTCTGCTCGTCCCCTCTCTCTGCTCAGAAAACCTTTGTCTGCTGAACGCCCTAATCTATTCCTTCAGCAAATACACCCCTGACCTAAGGAACTCAGTCCCCCCACCCATCTGTCTTGCCCTCCTTTGTCTTTAAATCCTACCCAAAAACCTCCCTTTCCAGGCGACCCTGTGTTTCACCTCCCCAATTCCATGCACCATCTGCTTGAAGCATTCTGAGACGCCCGATGTGAAGGGCAGTGGTGGTTGGTGTTGTTGTTTGTTGTTGTGAGTCAGCAAGTCATGGTTTATCCTCCATGTGAAACTCAAGTCGGAGAGACATTACATTAGTGTTGCTGCCTGCCTGGGGTCAGTGTTTGATCAACATGGATCTGAAGATGATTCGGTCCTAAAGCTCCGGGGGGGCGGGGGGGGGTTAGATCTCCGAGCGATTTGACCGAGCTGTGGGGCGGCAGGTAACTCACCACCCGTTACTGTAACGAGACGCTCAGCTCCTGTACCCACCTTTGGGGCAGCATGAAGCTGGGTATTGATCCACACAAAATGTCATGTTGTGTGGTGATGCCCATGTGCTTTCACAAAGCATCGCTGCTGACAGTCAGCAGCTGCAGATTTGAAGGTCACGGCTGGCGATCGGAATCCCATATGGCTCTTCTCCTGTTCTTCACACCACTCGGTTAGTGTTCTACACGCTGTTTGTAAAGTCCTGTTACCCTCCCATGTGCTTTTCTCTGCACTCGTTTCGCCTGCACAATCAATAAACAGTCAATTCACTTTACATTATATTCTGTGAAGCGCTTTGAGATGTGATAAGGCGCTGTATCAAATGCAAGGATTATTATTATTATTACAGCAATTAGGAAGGCTAATATCATGTTAGCGTTTATTGCAAAGGGGTTAGAGTACAAGTAGGGAAGTCTTATTGCAATTGTATAGGTTGTATTGTATTGGTGAGACCGCACCTGCAATACTGTGTGCAGTTTTGGTCACCTTATCTAAGAAAGGATATACTCGTCTTAGAGGAGGTACAATGTACATTCACTCGGTTGTTTTCTGGGATGAGGGGGTGACCCATGAGGAGAGGTTGAGTAGACCAGGCCTATATTCTAGAATATTGAAGAATTAGAGGTGATCTTATAGAAACCTATAAGATTCTTAAGGGTCTTGACAGGGTAGATAGTGTGGGACTGTTTCCCCTGGTTGGTGAATCTAAAACTAGGATCATAGTCTCAGGATTAAAGGTCAGCCCTTTAGAACTGAGTTGAGAAAACATTTCTTCACTCAGAGGGTAGTGAATTTATGGAAATCTCTACCCCAAAGGCTGTGGATGCTCAGTCATTGAACATATTCAAGACTGAGGTTGATAGATTTCTAAAGGATAGAAGGATTAAGGGGTATGGGGATAGGGCGGGTAAATGGAATTAGGTTAGAAGATCAGCCATGATCTTATCAAATGGCGGGGCAGCTCAAGGGGCCGAATGGCCTACTCCTGCTCCTATTTCTTATGTTCTTATGTACTGTGCACTGACCAGCACCTGAATGATGTGGAAGAATGATGATAATTGTATTTAGAAGTGACGTCATTGTATTCAGTACAAGCGTTTAACTGTATTTAAACGTCCAGAGGATCTGTGTGTGTGTGTGTGTGTGTGTGTGAGAGTGATATCATTTTCATGGCAGATAATTATCCATCGCCATGTTCAGTGCCACATCTTCATGGATGGACATAGATGGAGTGAGGAGGAAGTTCCTGGTATCAGACAACATTACATTCGACTCATCTGCAACAGAAAATAAAAATCCATTGTAAGAAACCAAAACATGGGGGTAACAGGACTTTGTGAACACTCTGGACACCATGGAGGATGTTTAACACGAAGACTGGAAAATTATTGCAGTTCTTCGTCACACAATCATGGCATCAAAATTGCATAACCCTCCAAAGTTAGTCCTTTGAAGTCCTGCAGCATGTTCGTTAAAGCACTCGCCTCACAAGCGAGAGGACCTGGGTTCAAATCCCAGGCAGGGTGAAAAGTTTCTTTACTTCACACATCTCTGTTTACCTAGTAGTAAGTAGGAACCCAGGACTTGATGCTATATCAAATGTAAGATCAATTGGCGGATTGCTTTTCCAGGGTTAATAATCCCTTCAAAAAAAAAAATAATTTGTTTACTCAATCTACAACTGCTTGTGAAACACTGCCGTGCGCAAATGGCTGCCACATTTCGCCCACAAAATATACAGTCAATTCACTTTACAGCGCTTCAAGACATCTCAAAGTCATCTCAAAGACATCTCAAAGAATATACTGTAAAGTGAATTGACTGTTTATGTTTTGGGCGAAACGCGGCAGCCAATTGGGCATAGCAGCGTCCCATAAACAGTCGTGGATTGAAGTGACCAAATTATTATTATTTTAATTTTTTTGGAATGGATTATTAAAAACCTCTAAAAAGCAATTGGCCAATCGACTAACAACCGGTTTGGCAGTTTGTTCTGAATCCACCCCCTTCAATCGCAGGCCTTGTCCTCTGGTTCTACTGTTCAGTACAAGATAAAACAGCTTATTTTGGTCGACATGATCTATTCCCTTCAGAATCTTAAAGTCTGTAATCATATCAACCCTCAACCTTCTCGTCTCCAGCGTGAATATGCCCAGTTTATCTAATCGCCCCTCATAGTCAATCCCTCCATCCCCTCAATCATGTTGGTTGCCCTCCTCTGTATCCTCTTTATTTGCCGCAATATCCTTTTAAAATTGCAGTGACCAGAACTGCCCACAGTATTCTAAGTGCGGTCGCACAGGTGATTTATGAAGTGGCGGATCACCCCACTATTTTGGCTCACTGTTTGCCCTTTTAATATAGCTCCCAGTCCATAAACTGCGTCCCTCCACTGCACCACCAGGCTTGTCCTATGATCCATCAAGTTGTTGATGTTTCTCCAAGCAGGGCAGAAATAATTTGGAGTGAGTTTTNGAGTATACTGTATGGTATAGCTGTAATCCTGTCATCAAACAGTACATTACAGCTCTCCAAGGCAGAGGCTTTCCCTGAAAGTCAAATGCTCAGTGTCACCATCTGAATTGCTTCCCCACATCCCACCACCTACAAGTAGCCCTTCTGATGAAATGTGTGCCCGAAACCTTAAACTGTTTTTCTTTTATTTGGATCTGGCTCCTGTGGATTGCGAAGTTTGTATTTACTTCAGTTTGCCACGTACTGATAGGGGAGGTGGTTTTAATAGTAGCTAAAAGTTTACAGTCAAACTGGCTTGATCCCTGCAAAATAAGTGACTGGGAATAATCAATCCCACAGCATCTCACAGGGCAGGGCGAAACCTTAGGCATATTTCCTTACTCCACACTCCTCTGTTTACCTAGCAGTAACTAGGAATCCAGTTGTTAGTCGATTGGCAGATCACTTTCCGAGGGTAATAATCCCTTCAAAACAATAATAATAATAATAAATTGGTCACTCAATCCACAACTGTGTTTGGAACATTGCTGCATGCAATTGGCTGCCTAGTTTTGCCCACAAAATATACAATAAACTTGACTTTACCCTATATTCTGTGAAACGTTTTGAGACGTTCCAACAACATGATAAGGCGCTATATCAAATGGAAGGATTATTATTATTATCACAGACCCACCATCCCCATGCAGTCCAGTGGCGAAAAGATAAATATTAACCTTTCATAGATTAATTATAGTCCTTGCATTTGTGGAGTCCTGCAGCTCAATGGTCAGTGCACTCGCCTGGCAAGCGATTCCCACCAGAGTGAAGCCTTGGGCAAGTTTCCTTACTCCACATGCATGATAATAATCCCTCAAGAAAGAAAAATAATAATAATTTGGTCACTCATTCAATGACTGTTTGTGGGACGCTGCTGTGCAAAATTGGCTGCCATGTTTCGCCCACAAAATATACCGTCAGTTCACTTTACAGCATATTCTGTGAAGGGCTTTGAGATGTCTAGAAGATGTGAAAAGCGCTATATCAAATGCAAGGATTATTATTATTATTTGATACAGAGCCTATAAGAACATCCATGTGTAGATAGTATATATGTGTCTGTGTGTGGATTTCTCAGTCTGGTTTGTAGACTCTTAATATGGTGATAGTTCACCGCTTGTGTCAGACACCAGGCTGACCAAAAAAAGCATCAAAACATTTCACAGACATTTCCAGGTAATTTCTGTGAAGTGCGTTGACTGTATGTTTGTATGCAAACACACCAACCATTTTGCATAGAAAAATCACATACCTGAAGTAAATTTCCACTTCATCTGGATGCTTGTTGGTCCACAAACAACCACCATATAATTATATTTATGTAGAGCCTTTGACGTCGGGAGGACATCCCAAGGTGCTGGACAATCAGTGTTTCGGACCCGAGCTGGGGGTCGGGATCAGGGAGGGTGGAGGGCAGGGGGGGGAAGCAGGGTGAAGAGGAGGGTCTTGAAGGGAGGGTGCGAGACGGGCAGGATGGAGTTCCAGATGGTGGGGGTAGAGTGGCAGAAGGCCCACCCGCCATGGTGGGGCGGGGGAGGTGGAGGACGTGAAGCAGTCCGGAGCCCGCTGAGCGGAAGGAGTAGGCAGGATGGAAGAAGGTTAGGAGGTCACAGAGGTTGGGGGGAGCAAGGCCATGGAGGGCTTTGAAGGTGAGGACCAGGATCTTGAACTGTATCCTCTGTGTGATGGGAAACCAGTGGAGTCAGGCGAGGATGGGGTGATAGGGTCATGGAGCCTAGTGCGGGAGGACACGAGCTGCAGAGTTCTGGATGATCTGCATGGGAACCATCACCAACAACAACAAACTGCATTTATACAGCGCCTCAAACGTCAGGAGGACTTCCCAAGGCGTTGGACAATGAGGTGTTTGCCTACGAGCTGTGGGTTGGGATCAGAGAGGGTTGTGGGGACGGGACAGGGTGGGGTGGGGGTGGAGGAGGGAAGATGACCGATCGAAAAGGAAGGTCTTGAGAAGGTGAAGGGAAACTCCCTTTCCTTTTCCAGTAGTGTTGCTGTATCTGTATGGGGCTTGAACCCGCAATCAACTGAGCCACAACAGCAACAGCAGCAAAATTATATTTGTATAGCGCCTCTCACATCAGGAGGACGTCCCAAGGCACTGAACACTATTTGAAAATGGTGGCGCCATCCTTGGGCCTAGTCTCTGCCGTGACCAGTTTAGTGAGTGTTGCAATGATCTGAGCTGGGATCTCAGTGCTGCAGCGTTCCAGCCATTGGGAGAAATGTCCTTTCCCATTGAAAGGTCATCCCTGATTTGGCAATGTGTAATAAATGGGTTGACTAGCGCACTGCAGTCATATTGGTGGGGACAAAAACTGGGCTATTTGTATGCGCCCTCGCCTCCTGCTCACACTAGACAGATGGATAGTTATTTGAATCATTAATTTTTAAAGAAAAAAAATTAATTTCCTGTCAGGCTTCAGCAAATCTGATTTTTTTGGTGTGGGGGTGGGGGTGGGGGGGCGAGAAGGTGGTAAATACACGAGCAGAACGTGTGATGAAACTCAACACAGCAACTTAGCGCAGTGTGAAGAAAGCCGTGTGTGCATAAAAAAACCACTGCAATAAAAATCCCAAATAATATTCTCACTTTTCCATTAAATCCAAGTGTATTACCAGGACAGATTTAGTGACCTCCAAATGGTAAAATATAGCCGTGCTTCCAGAAAACAGAGCGAGGAGGGGGGTGGAATTGAGATAGTCCTATCCTGATTTTCACTGCAATCCCCTTTCAGCTTTTTTACCAAGTGATTTACCAAAACACAGTAATTGAAAAGAAATGCAATTTGCTTTATGTGGTCGTAACTGATATGTATACTTGTGTAAAATGAGCTATTATCTTTGAGTTATGGTTCTGATCGCTATCAGTGTGCTTTGCTGCCTGTTTCTGTCAGCAGCAAAGTTCAGCTCTTTGTGGATTCGAAGGGCGTATGAGATAATTTGGTTTCATTGGCTTCTCTTTTTCTCTTCTTTTCTCCCCTCTCCTCCCCCCCCCCGCTCCCCCTTTAGATTTTCTCTTGTCCACGAAGGAGAGGCCACAGACTAGCGCCGTGCTTGCCAGGCGCCTGGTCATCGGAGCCCTGGGAGTGAAAAGCAAACAGACCAAAGAGGAGCGGGAGGCTGAGCGGAAAAAACTGCAGGAAGCCAGAGGTGAACCTTTGTATATATGGTAGAGTGAGCCCACACAGTGGAACGTAGGAACAGGAGGAGGCCATTCATCCCCTCGAGCCTATTCCGCCAATCTATAAGATCATGGTTGACCAGTACCTCAACTCCAATTGCCCGCCCTTGCCCCATATCCCTTAATACCCTGACTTAACAGTCTATCCACCTCTGTCTAGACAATGTGAATGGATTCAGAATCCAAGGCTTTTGGTGGAGAGAGTTCCAGATTTCCACTCGCTTTTGTGTAAAAAACTGTCTCGTGATTTCACTCCTAAATGGCCTGGCTCTAATTTTAATATGATGCCCTTGTTCTGGATTCCCCACCAGAGGAAGTAGCTTCTCTGAGTGTATGAACATGAATTAGGTGCTGGGGTTGGGAGAGACGTTAAACCAAGGTCCTGTCTGCCTGTTCAGGTGGATGTTAAAAGATCCCATGGCATTATTCGAAAAGAGAAGTTTCTTCTCTCCTGGTGTCCTGGCCAACAATCCCCCAGATAAAATCGGTCTCACTCACTCATATGGCGCATCACTTTCCGAGGGTAATAATCCCTTAACAGATAATCCCTTAACAAATAAAAAAATAAATATAATAATAATTTGGTCACTCAATCCACAACTGTTTGTAGGACGCTGCGGTGTGCAATTGGCTGCCGCGTTTCGCCCACAAAATGCACAGTCACTCCACTTTACAGTGAAGCGCTTTTGAGACGTCTCGAAAATGTAATAAGGCGCTGTGTCAAATGCAAGAATTATTTTTATTATTATCGTGAAACACCTCTGTGAAGCCTTCTCTCAATCAAAATTAATGATGGAAATACCCGAGAACGGTTTCTGTCAGTAGATGAGCCACACAGAGCAGGAAGGTCCAGTCTTGATCTCCACTCTGATCTGTTAGCTGATCTCAGTCGCGTCGCGGTTGGAAACTTGCCGTTGGCTCCAAAAGGCGTTAACATTACCGAAAGGCTGCACGGTGCTCGGCAGGTAAAATAGGAAGTAATTCACACTGCTGCTTTTAACGTCTTTGTCAGACTAAATCCTCTTTACTGTGGTGGTCACATAATGGTGGAGGCAGTTACATCGGGGACATTAATCTATCAGTGTTGATGTCAGCGATATCAATGGCATAGAGCTTCCCGGCACTCAGTGCCTATTGGGACTCAGGCTGGGAGCACCGTGCCTGCCAACTGGATAGGAAATATTATAGATTAACATGGGAAAGATTTCTGGGCAGTAATGACCCCTCTTGAGGTTCAGGTTTAGTGTTTACGAGCTCCTGTGAAGCCCTGTGCCTTGTACTATTTGCCCAGTTTCCAGTACCCTGTGTGTATTGCTACGGGGGATCATTTTTCTGTCCTTTTCCTCTGCTGGAGTAAAGTGAATGGACTGTATGTATTGTGGGCAAAACCCAGCAGCCAATCGCGCACAGCAGCGTCCCACAACCAGTCGTGGATTGAGGTGACCAAATTATTTTGTATTTATTTTGAAAGAATTATTGCCCCCGGAAATGCGATCCGCCAATCGACTAACAACCGGGTTCCTACTTGCTACTGGGTAACCAGAGGCGTGTGGAGTAAGGAAACTTGCCCAATGTTTCGCCCTGATAGGAATTGAACCAGATCCTGTCGCTTGCGAGGCGAGTGCTCTAATCACTGAGCTACAGGACTATATATTGTATCCAGAGATATTATTTATATATGTCTTCTGGGCCCTGGCGAGCAATCCCCCCGATTCAGAAATAAATTTATCTTCACTTCACGCACAAATTGGCTGTCGTGTTCAACTGCAAATACAGCACCACACTTTACAGTGAATACCTCAAAACGCTTTGAGACATCCTCCCGTCATGAAAGGCGCTGTATCAAATGAAACAGCAACTTTCTGTTACATAGCGCCTTGGACATTGGACAACTGTCTCAAAAGAGGTTCACAGAGATGGTGGGGAGCAGGTGAGGGAGATTTTAAGGGTATTGACCAAAGAGACAGAGAGAGTTTGGTAAACCTGAATTCTGATACGAAAGGTATGAGAGTCAAATACTGACATGCACCTGTTTGGCGAGTGCGGTTAAACAAACTACCCTTGCATCCAAACTCAGAAAGTTCAAAACTTTGAGCTTTGCCTGAATCTCAGGTGCTGACATTTGCACAATATTGTTCTGGTTAAGGGCGAACATCTTGTCTGATTCCGGGAGACGGAGCAGAGATTTCAGCAGAGTTTCACTGAGACCTTAGAGGTCGGTGATAAAATGGTTTATTAAAAAGAAATGTGGGCTTTAATAAATCAGCAGCAGATGGAATTGATTCAGTGACACTTAAAGAGAGGAAGGTGGAGTGTGAGTTGCTGCCATCAGATGTTTTCATAGCTCGTTGGACACAGCAGCGATGCCAAAAGTACTGGAAAAAGTCATTCACTTTATGCCCATCTACCACCAAGGTCAAAGCATGATCTTGAGCATTGCAGGCTTGTTGATTTTATATGTATTTGGGGAGGAGAAATGTTAGCCTATTAAAACAAGTAGTTAAAGTGTGTTTAAAGAGCGACTGCAATGATGACAAGCCACAAATCTATTGTAAGTGCTGAGGCTGGTGTGGGGCTGTGAGACCAGCGCCTTGGGACGTCTTACCGACGTGAAGAGTGCTATACAAGTGTAATTTGTTGTTGTTGTTGATAGTGAAGCTGGTTTGGGAGTAACATTTGTGTTCAATGCACTTTTAGTTATGGGGATCTTTCCTGCTGGAACTGCGCATCACCGGCAATACTGAACTGGACTTTTTAAAAATAGTTTTCTTATAAATTTCAGCAGTGGAGAAGCACAGTGTAGTGGTTAGCGCACTCGCCTCGCAAGTGAGAAGACTCCGGTTTGATTCCCGGTCGGGGAAAAGCCTTAGGCAAGTTTCCTTACTCCACATGCCTGTTTACCTCGCACTAAAGTAGGAACCCAGTTGTTAGTTAATTGGCGGGTGACTTTCTGGGGATAATTATCCTTTCAAGAAAATGTGGTCATTGAACCCACGACTGTTTGTGGGACAGTTCGGCTGGCTCCGACCTCCTGCTTGTCCCATGTGCCCTCCCCTCCATCATCAATGGCTGCGCTTTCAGCCACTACGCCCCAATGCTTTGGAACTCTCTCCCCCAATCTGTCCACCTTGCCCCCTCCTTCCCCTCTTTTAGATTGCTACTGAAGACCTTCCTCTTCGACCGTGCTTATAGTCATCTCCACCTGGCTCGGCATCAGGCTCCGCCACTGGTAAGCGCTCTGAGACGCTGCCCCGAGTGAAGGGCGTGGTGTAAATACAAGTTGTTGCATTACAGGGGTTAGGGTTGAGTATGGGGAAAAGTGTGGTCAATGACGATATGTGGCTAGTTCCGCCTGTGACTCCTCTCGTGATTTACTGCCTCAGCCACTAGGTGAGGCTGTGCAATAAGATTTACCGTCTCCAGTAATTCCAACCAAATCACGCGCTGCCAGTTATTTTTTACACATATATATACACAATAAAAATCCAATCGAAGTTAATCTTTGGAGCTTGCGAGCAAAATTATTTTTATATTTATACAACTGAGCCGGGAGGCTGTTTATCTAGCTGACTGCTTCTCCCCAGAGGCTAATAAATAGCAAGTGTGGTTAATGGAAAACCTGTAAGAGCAAGTCAGTTACGTTTTAAAACCGATCTGCGGAATATTCTGGTTTATTTCCACTTAGATTTTGTTTTATTTTCTTTAATGTTGTTCAATCTCCCGATCGGGACTGATCCAGGCTGACGCTCCAGCCAGCACATCGTCAGAGATGCAGTCCTTCCGATCAGACATTGAATCGTGGAGCCCCGTAGTGTAGTAGTTAGTGCGTTCACCTCGCAAGCAAGAGGATCGAGGTTTCAATCCCGGGCGGGGCAATACCTTAGGCCAGGTTCCTTACTCTCCTCTCCTCTCCTCTCACCTCAACCTTCACGGCTCTGGTTCAGATTGTACCTCACACCGTCTCCACTTCATCTCCACAAACGGCTTCTCCTCCAGCCCCCGCACCGTCTCGTGTGGTGTTCCTCAGGGCTCTGTCCTTGGTCCCCTCCTCTTCAATATCTATATGGCTCCCTCTTGGTGACATCATCCACAAACATGAGGTCAACTTCCACATGTATGCGGATGACACCCAACTCTACCTCTCTGCCTCCACCCTCGACTCCAGGACCACTGCTGTCCTGATAGAATGTCTGTCAGACATCAAGTCCTGGATGAGAGATAACTTTCTTCAGTTGAACGTCAACAAGACCGAGGCTCTCCTGTTGGCTCCCGTCAGTGTCTCCTCACCTCAGACGCTGACATCCATGGGTGCACACTCCACTTGCTAAGCCAGTCCGGAACATTGGCATCTTGTTTGACCCTCAACTTTCCCTTCTCCCTCGCCTCCTTCAAGATCCCTTTCATCCCCCTTCCCTCATGGTCAAAGAGGAGGGTCCGTCTGTCTTATCTGTCTCTCAACCCATTAACTTTTTCAACAAAGCCTCCCTTAAATCTGACTGGTTCTCTCGCTCTCTCGTTCGTTCTCTCTGATTTTTTTTATCATTATTACTTTCTATTTCCTGTGCAGCGAGGCCCAACAAAATGCCTACGGCAACAGATTCGAATATAAAAGTGCTGAGCAGGCAGGCTTTCCAGGGAACTGGGACAGAGAGAGAGAGAAAGAGAGAGAAATTTGCGTACGTCAGGGTCATTCACTCAAACCCACGTCATTGTGTGTGTGATTTTTCTGTTTGCCTGTTTTGGAGACGCAGGATTGAAAATCACATCCAGAGGCGGCTCCAAACAACTTGACGGAAAATCAATATGAGCATCCCAGGTTATGCATAAATCAGGAGCTTTCAGGGCAAGGATTATTATTATTATTAAAGGTCCTCCGTCAACTCTTCCCCCAACCACACCCCCCCGCCCTTAACTAGAGTTCTGCTCCCTTGCGCTTCAATCCTCAACAATTATGATTTTGCTTTTACTC